CTCAGAAGAGAACGGCCACAGTGAATACACACTCGCCGGTGTCCTATTGAAGATGCCCGCTCACTCTCTTCTGCTATACTTTCATCAAGAGATATAGCATTGGCATGATTCCAGCAAGCTTGGCAGATAAAATCATTATCATTTACCTGAAGCAAACATTAATGATTTGACTATTAAGTCTATCACTAACATATAGTAATAAATAACTAAGTGGCCCATGTGGATAAATAACCTTATTACATTCCCACTGCAGGGACACAGGCCTCTTCTCCGAGCGAGCGAATAGGTCGTAATTAACCATGCAGATTCAGTCCGGATTTGTTGCACATCCAGGTACCTATCATTTCATAAAATACAACTATGTATTAACTATGCGATAACACTATTCAATTCTCCACACGGATTTCCTCCCGTATTAGGAGGAGGAATCTCACACCCCCGATTACTCTCTTTAGACAACCCATACCCTGGGCCAGGAAGGTCAAGTACCTGGGCGTTACCCTGGATGCATCGATGACATTCCGCCCGCATATAAAATCAGTCCGTGACCGTGCCGCGTTTATTCTCGGTAGGCTCTACCCCATGATCTGTAAGCGGAGTAAAATGTCCCTTCGGAACAAGGTGACACTTTACAAAATTTGCATAAGGCCCGTCATGACTTACGCGAGTGTGGTGTTCGCTCACGCGGCCCGCACACACATAGACACCCTCCAATCTCTACAATCCCGCTTTTGCAGGTTAGCCGTCGGAGCTCCGTGGTTCGTGAGGAACGTTGACCTACATGACGACCTGGGCTTCGAATCTATCCAGAAATACATGAAGTCAGCGTCGGAACGGTACTTCGATAAGGCTATGCGTCATGATAATCGCCTTATCGTTGCCGCCGCTGACTACTCCCCGAATCCTGATCACGCAGGNCAGGTTCAGTCCGGATTTGTTGCACATTCAGGTACCTATCATTTCATAAAATACAACTATGTATTAACTATGCGATAACACTATTCAATTGGATTACATTAAATAATTATGTAGTACAAAAATGTAACAAAGAAATATCGGATACTAACCGTTTGAGGCGCAACCCATTCCTGTACAATTGAAAGAATCATTTCATCTTCCAATCTTCGCCTTCCTATTGTATTGCAGCGGTCCGTTGCTATTCCGCAATTAGTGCACAGGCTCATGATATCGTTAAATAATAACTATACGGTTTTCCAACAAAGTTCAGCGGGGGTGCAGGGTACGGGGTCCAATGTTCAAGCGGGGTTCAATCAGAAGGCAATCAATCAGAGTCCAGTATTCAAGCAGAGGTCTTTTATAATCATAAATCTCGATAAATAAGGAAAAACACATTCACTCGCGCAGAAAAACGAAAAGCGAATGACAATACGAATTAAAAACCTCCTGTGCCAAGATAATTGTGACGTTGACATTGACATTCCCCTTTTACTAGAGGAATCCGTGGTGTAATCGATTACACCAAATCGATTATTTATATACTTAGAGAATCGTGTCACAACTACAATGGCGGTAATTCAAAATAATAATATCGTTAACTGGCAGCATTAAATATAACATGAAAGGTTAGTTTTGCATTTTTATATTAATGTAGCTACACCATAAAAAACTCAAAAGTACCAAATCGGGTTTTTCATGTTATATTTAAGATTGCCAGTTGAAAATATTTTGAATGGCCGCAGGTGCCGACATGATTTCGGGTCATAACTAAATGGCACAGTTATTTATTTCTTTTAATGATTTTTGTTAGTAGATTTTGGTGCTTTACGTAACGTTATTCAATGAGATTTAAGTTTATAGTCTGACCAACGAATCATGGCACAACTAAATAGCGGCAACTCAAAATATCTTCAATTGGCAACATTAAAGATAACATAACACGATTTGATACATTTGTGTTTTTCTATGGCATAGTCACATTAATATAAAAATGCAAAACTACCTTTCTTTCTATATTTAATGTTGTCAGTTGTAGATATTTTGAATTGCCGCCATTGTAAGTAGTTGTGTCACGATTCGATGGCCATACTCTATTTAAATTGATTGTAATACCTTTAAAAACAGACATTTATCCTCAAACAAAAGAGTATTAATTATTTTTAACACTATCGATTTCCACTAAATCGATCCTATTTTAGGGATGCTCTAATTCTAATCCGCACGTTTGTGGAGCTAGTTACGTATATTGAAATAAGTGTTGCAGAGGTTTACAAAGATTGTTTAAAACAAAAAATAGAATTCCTTATTTTCTACACTTGGCCATTGCCAATGAAGCTAAGATTTCAATAGATTAACCAAGCAAAATAGACGAATTTTTTGGTACATATCCCATTCGTGTAACGCTTAGGCCCAAAATGGGGTTTCTCCTTTCATACTCCTCCGTCCGCGCAATTTTCGTAAAAAGGGGTACAAAGTTTTTGCTTCACGTATCAATATATAGATAAGCGTAAAGAAAAAACTGCTACTGACCTCGTGGTCGCTGTAACTAAATCAATCAGTCGCTCGTCCTTGTCTTAGTGCTCGAATCCCTTGAACGGAGGTAGGACCTCTTCTGAGTCCGCATGGGTAGGTAGGTACCACCACCCTGCCTATTTTTACCGTGAAGCAGTAATGGGTTTCAGTTTGAAGGTTGGGGCAGCCGTTGTAACCATACTGAGAGAAAGAACTGGGTGGACGAGCTCACAGCCCACCTGGTGTTAAGTGGTTACTGGAGCACATAGACATCTACAAAATAAATGCGCCACCCACCTTAAAAGATAAGTTGTAAGGTCTCGTATAGTTACAACGACTGCCCCACCCTTCAAACCGAAACGCATTACTGCTTCACGGCAGAAATAAACAGGGTGGTGGTACCTACCCGCACGGACCCACAAGAGGTCATACCACCAGTAATTACCTCCAAGTGGGTGGCGATATTCATATCTTGATACCATAAACTCTACTGACCTCTTAATATCTTGTGAACTATAAGCTCATTTGCTTATCTACAATAATAAAAAAGAGAAAAATAACATGTTAAAACAATTTTTAATCGAAATCCAATATCACTAAACTATTTCGCAGATTTCAACAAAATATCTGATGTCACTTTATCGGCAATATTAAGTACCTACCGCCGACGGAATATTAAAATTATTACCGTATTCTCCGCATTTATTATAATTGCGTCGGTCTCTCGATATTCGACGTGCGTAATTAAATTTCGATAATTGAATTTACCCTCACTATGAGCACGAGCTAATAAATGATGATGAAGAACTTGAAAAAAGATAAGTGGTAATAAAACGTTAACGTAGCTGCAAAAAAAAAACTTAGTCAAACCTACTGAATATTTCTTAAAGGCGTTTTAAATTAGTACAAGCTAACTGATAAAGTTTTTATTGAGTATCGAACTTTAATAATTTATTTTATTTTACCTTCTTATATTCTTTGCCGAGAACTTGTTCGTTTACTGAATATTAAAGTAATTTAATCAGGACAAAATAATTTCTCCAAGAAAGTTTTCAAGTAAAGCAAAAAATGATATTGGCTTTTTTCTATTCCTTTACGAGAATGATAACGTTATTGCTTTTTTAATTTTACTGAATTGCTTAAGTTTCACAAACGAGCAGTTTTACGTAAAAAGAAGGAAGACATAGTTATAATATACAAAATAAAATTATTTCTTATTTTGTCAACAAAGAAACGACATCTAATATTTATTTGTTAATATTTTTATGTCTCCTTTAAATTGTAATTCGAAAATTTTGATATATTGTAAAAAGTATTACATATTCATTTATTGTGACATTTTATTATTATTGAAATTCATCATAAAAACGCTTTCAAACCAAACAATAAATCATATTGGTACATTAATAAAATGATTTAATTAAAAATCACGTAAAATTTTGTTAAAAGAAAAATAAAACTGTCAAATAAGTTAATGTACAAAAATATTCATGTCACCCTTCCTAATTTATTATTTTTTCATTTCTATACACGTCGCAATTTTCAATTTGTTCTCTTTTGGAACAACCAGTCTCGTATTGAAATATTAAATATTTTTATATACCTCTCTTAGATTGTCGTAAAGGATTCGGAATGTCTACATAAAGACAAATAAATAAATAGTAATAACAAGATTACGGACTACTTCAAATAAATAACGATAAGGATTTAGCGTTATATTTATAAATGGCTCTTCAACTTACGTTTTAATGAACCCACGATAAAGTTTAGATATCAATTTCAGCTTCAGTCATAATTGAATCTATTTTATAATAATATTTCGTAATTTAATAATACTGTGAATTTTGCGAGTAAGCCCTGACATGGACTCTTATTTCTAATGACTATCCAAAATTATACTAATTTGTTTTTCTTTCAATTGATATTGATATATTACATAAGTTATATCACAAAATAATACAAGATTCATTATGGAGCAAACAAAGAACGTCTTCTATTTATTAGTAAAAGATTATGTTCTGGTTTTGTAGTTGATACACGAAAACTGTAACAAAACTGTATACTATGGAGATGTTTAAATGAATTTAAATAATATAATGTGATCTGTGCATAGCTCTTAACTTTAAAATCATGATTTTTGTTTATGTCTCTTTGTTCATTCGTGCAAAGACTACTGGACTGGAGCGCTATGACATGTCCTTCTTCAAACGAGGCTTGTGGAGAGTACTTAACGGTAGGCAGCGGCTTGGCTCTGCCCCTGGCCTTGCTGAAGTCCATGGGCGACGGTAACCACTCACCATCAGGTGGGACGTATGGTCGTCTGCCTACAAGGGCAATAAAAAAATAAAATAAACATATTTTAGTGTTACTAAAGTTTTTGATGAAGACGTTAATAAAACCACATTTCTCCGCCACTTCTATCTATACGATGTAAACCGCTAGCGTTTCATTTTAGACGCCAGCTGTCTGGCTGTTATTAATGTTATTATAAACAACGAACATTGTACGAGGAGTGCAAATATTATGTACAGATTACGTCGCGGTTTCCGGCACCGGGGCGTGATGGTGTTGCCGCGTCAAACGTGCGGTCTGTTCACGCACACGTTACTGTTGGAGCGTTATCCGGGCGGGAGGCATCGACTAGACCGCTCCATACAGGGAGGCGAGCTCTTCCAGACTGTTATCAACAATCCGGTAATTATGAAACATGTTATCGACAAGATCATGTCTTTTTTTTTTAATACTACCTCTGCCTTAAGGTACGCGTCCATTGGCCCGCGCCGGACGTACCGCACGCAACAGATTTTATTTTGCTTTGTATTTTTTGCTTATAAATGCCGGCGTTCGGTGCGGGTGGCGCGAATAGCGGACGCAGGACTATGTGAAGTCACCCATCTAAGACAAGGTTTGAGCCCCGTGAGCTCACCTACTAGCCCGGTGACGCTGATATGGTCTCTCTAGACCAGCGGTCGGGGAACCGGGGTAAATTACCCCAAATGGGGTAAAATGAAATTTTGAGGGGTAAAAATGAAACTTTTGTGAGTAAACATTATATATTGAAGTGAAACTTCTTTAGAATCGTTGTGATTTCAAATTATCATGGGGGCTATAATATGAAAGATGCCAAAAGAAGCGATTTCGTTTTTTTTTTGTTCTTCGCCACGGGGTAATATCAACTTACACAAAAATATTTTGGGGTAATAATTAAAAAAGTTCCCCGACTGCTGCTCTAGACCATCAGCTTAGGTAGGAAAAAAAACTGAAATAATACAAAGCAAAATAAAATCCGTTACGTGCGGTGCGTCCGGCGCGGACCAATGGACGCGTACCTTTACAGCAAATGAATTTTTTTTTATTTTTTTTTTATTGCCCTTGTAGGCAGACGAGCATACGGCCCACCTGATGGTGAGTGGTTACCGTTGCCCATGGACTTCAGCAATGCCAGGGGCAGATTAAGGTCATGTCATGTCAAAATATGTATATATCTATTTTTTATTTGTCTTTACAATATAATGTTTGTACTAGATCAACGTGTTCATGACCCACATGTCGAATTATGGCAACGATCGACTCGCATTATACACTTTCGAGTCGGTGGTCAAGTTCCTGAGGTGCTGGACCAATGTGCGTCTTGCATCAGCACCACCTTTGGCCCTGGCGGAGAAGTATTTCCAACTGAGACCCGACGAACTGAACCCGTTGTGGGGGGTGAGTGCTTGAAACTTTTTTTACTTTCATTGTTGACATTTTTTTGTCTCTTGATCAATACGTAATGGTTATAATTTTATGTCTACATATACATATATACACCAGTCTTTTTACTTTTTAGCTTTAAATACAACTTTTAAATTGCAATGCATATTATGGCATCGCGGCAGAAATAGGTAGAACGGTAGTCCCTACCAAGGCAGGCTTACGACACCCAGAGCCACCAGTATGATACGTATAACAGTTAAGATTTATGTATTGATAACACTGAAGAAGAAATGATTATACTAGAGAAAGTGTCAAAGTATTTCCCGTGATTGATAAAATTAGGAATATGGTAACCAGCGTGACTTGGACACGTGTTGGGGAGACAGAAAATGCACTTTAATAGAAAAGTGATGATTTTGCGTGTAAATGAAAACAAGGCGAAGGAAGGCAAAAAAGGTGAATTGTGCCCCTGACATGAACGCAGTTTTAGTGTGCGTAAGTGTATGATTAAAAATTAATTGACTTCCATGGTGAAGGAATACGTGTAATAAAAGTAAAACCCGGAAAATTATAATTTGCGTAATTACTGGTGGTAGTAGTACCTCTTGTGAGTCTGCACGGGTAGGTACCACCGCCCTGTCAATTTCTGCCATTAAGCAGTAATGCATTTCGGTTTGAAGGATGGGGCAGCCGTTGTAACTATACCGAGACCTTAGAACTTATCTATATCTCAAGGTGGGTAGTGAATTTACGTTGTAGATGTCTATGGGCTCCAGTAGCCACTTAACATCAGGTGGGCAGTGAGCTCGTCCAACCATCTAAGCAACAAAAAAAATTGAAATTCACAAGAAGCATAAATAGTTTTCAAACAGAAGAGACTTTCTATAGTTATGTCTGAGAAAACGTCTTATTTAAAAACAATGTATTCGAAACGCGATTCTTGTAAGTTGCGATACCATCGATCACACGAAACGACAGCAGAACAAATGTTGGGACACTCAACACTAGCGTTCTTTGTTTCGAACATTTGACACGGTTCGAAGCTCATCCATCAGTATCCGTACAGTCTAAGTGTTGCTAAAGGTCTATTCATTCGAGTTCGTGCCGCCGTCAATAGAATGCACAAAACCTGTCTAGTTTGAATCAAAATAAAGAGCTGAAGAGAGGGCACGGCGCTTCCTTTCCACGGACAATTGGAACCTTTGCCTTTGACATTTCCAGTCCTCAATCTATTAATCAGTGATTCTATTTGACGAAGTTCACGGAAAGTCTTTTGATGCAAATAAAATGGAATGTTACGCTTTTCAAACTCGAAATGAATTCTATTGTCACAAAATCAATTAACTTTTAACAGTTTGACAGTTTGCTCTCGACGATTCCGGTTCGACGCTTGTGTTGCCGCCATTCTACGGCGTCGTCTATTACACGGTCCGTGAATCGGTGATATATTTCGATGCGATTCAAATTTTTAAAATTATCGACGCGAAAACGCCGATTCGTAGCCGGTTCAAACACGTTCAGTATGCACGAACGATCTCGTATAATGTATACTGTCTCCGCACGAGTTCGGCGCCTTGCCCCAGAAACAATATGCACGCTACGAATTTAAATAATATTTTATTGCCCTGTGAGATATGATATCCTCACTGAAATACGAAAAGGAAATTGGAAATACATTTTCTGCGGCCGACATAAAAATAGTGCTTTACGCTTGCAATAAACACAATTGCTTTATAGCTTTGCGACGGCGGCTATCCAATGAGTGAGAAAACTGCGTAATAGTATCTGTGGGTGTGTTTCGACCTGTATCAAACGTTACCTTCAGAGGGTTACGTTTGCTTTGAGTCTGGCATGTGTCATTAATCTTTCTAAAGCGTGTCGCCTGTCGTGCCACGACAACAAAGGAGTTCCTAGTGTTTGAGACCAGAACAATGTTAGGCTTGTCTGAAACACGCCGCACACGTTTCACGATAAACCATTTTACATGCCACCTAAAGCTGACTATGTACGAGTTTTCTCCCTCATCTAAATACTATCGAAGCTATATGTCGTTTTATACAAATGTCTCACGAAGATCTACAGAGCTCTTCATGCATACACATAACGTTTATCGGGTATACAAAAAAAATGAAGCTAGTGTTTTAATTTGGTAACATGTGTACGCGACGCTGTGATACATTTTCTTATAAAGGAAGTGCCAAGTATGGCACCGTTAAAATATTACACGCAATATAAACCTTTACGGTGTCCATTCTTCAAAAAGGACACGAAGGAAAGCTAACAAAAAAAAAATACTGTGATTTATATTTTATACAGATAAACAATTATAAGAAATAGAACCATTTGCAGAAAGTACTGTTCGAGCCGAAAATGTATTTGATTTTTCGAAATTACTACGGATTAGAATTCTTGTGGAAAATATTCAAGGCGTACTCAAAAATGTAACATACCATTGCCTCTTCCTTAGAACACTTCATTTGTTTTTATTGCCCATTCATTGCACGACCCTTATAATGGCGTCCAGTAACGTCCAATAAAAATAAACACTATAGTTTCGGTAAACGTGTGCCGGAACTCATACCTATTACTTATAAGAAAAAAAAACTGCACTATATATGAGGCCGTCAGAGCAAAAATGGCCTAAGCTTATAGTTAGTATGGAGGCAATGATGTTTGAATTTTCATAAATTTGACTTTGAGTAGGCAAAAAAACAATACGCGCAAAAATAATGTTTACCAAAGGGGTGAAACTATGAATAGGCCGGTTTTGCATCAAACTTTAATTCCAATATACGTCATAATAATATAAGCCTGAATATAAAAAAATTGTGGGTTAGGCCACATTTGCGCCTATGGCCTCATATACAAAAACTGTTTAAACGTCAATTTAATGTGAAACGTTCGTGATTTATCGTCCATAGAATCCGTGCGATGACATCCGACACCGCCGCATATGGTCCAAGAGTAAATGGTGCGGCACACTGCCCAGACTCCTAGTGATCGGTCCCCAGAAGACCGGCAGCACAGCCCTATACACGTTCCTAGCGATGCACCCAACACTGAAGCCGAACTTGCCCAGCCCGAGCACATACGAAGAGCTACAATTCTTCAATAACAACAACTACCTGAAAGGACTGGATTGGTGAGTATAAAAGCGACAAAAAAAACGATAGTAATCTAATTTTTGCGGTAGGCAGCGGCTTGGCTCTGCCCCAGGCATTGCTGAAGTCCATGGGCGACGGTAACCACTCACCATGTGGTGGGTCGTATGCCCGTCTGCTTACAAGGGCAATAAAAAAAAAACTACTACTACTACTACTAAGTACTTTACCGGTGGTAGGAGCTCTTGTGAGTCCGCACTGGTAGGTACCACCGCCCTGCCTAGTTCTGCCGTGAAGCAGTAATGCGTTTCGGTTTTTGAAGGGTGGGGCAGCTGTTATAACTTTACTGAGACCTTAGAACTTATATCTCAAGGTGGGTGGCGCGTTTACGTTGTAGATGTCCATGGGCTCTAGTAACTGCTTAACACCAGGTGGGCTGTGAGCTGGTCCACCCATCTAAGCAATAAAAAAATACGTAGTATAAAATAAAATCAAACATTGAACTGAAGCATAATTCTTTTTATTTTTATTTTAAATCAATGTTTTTTTTTATCCGTTTATATAATAAAAGTATTTTTAAATGAAATGCTAAAGATAATGAACACATTACGAATCATAACAAATAAAACACAGTAGTGTGGATAGGTCATTGGAAAGTTCATTAGTTATCTCTTTGCAAAAAAACCGTTTGCCTAGCGTTGTGTGAAATAATGTTTTTTTTTGTTTTTTTTTTTGCGTATTCGCGTCACCGCCACACGGTCTAGCTGGTGTTAAGTGATTGGCGGAACTCATAACGTAATTGGACCTAAGGTTGTATTCTCCATTATAATATGACCTATAACGGATAGCTAGGACATGGAAACGTGTGAGTGCTTCGCGGCACAAATAGGCATTTTCGTATTTACAATATCTCTTGATTTGGCGTAACCTTTTATTTTCATCTATTTTGTTTATTGATATTTCATTAAAACTTAACAGATGGCAAAGGGTAGTAATACATAAATCTAAATAAAAACTCAAATGCTGTACAGTACCAAATCAGTTTTTAAAGTCAATTTAAAAAAGGGCTTACTCTAAAAAAATTTGCTGAAAACGCTTAAGCTTAAAATCGCAATTCTTGTTCATAATTATATTTAGTGCCAATTAACAATGTAAATTTTCTTTTCGTAAATGCCACAACATAAACATGAAATTACGAACTAATTATGAAATATTTAAAGGTCTACCTTTAATTTCAAATGAAAAGATCCAAGCTCTAATTAATTATAAGGCCAGGGCAGAGAGCGTTGTTTGTTTACAGAAAAAAAAAAAAACGACCATTTACCTATTCGAATATGCCGCGGGTCACGGACAACAAGCAGTCCTCGTACATTTCGGTAGTAAACGTGATTTCGGCCCTTCGTCTCATTAATACACCGCGCTTGTATACATTTAAATTTAAATGCTTAATAAGCTGGAGTGTTTTTTCTAGGCCCCTCGTAGTATCCGAAGCCTAGTCAACGTGACCGGAAACGACAATGCTTTCATGAATATGAAAAATAAACGCGAAATTTGTGTGTTCATGGGTTCTTTTAATTTAATTTTTTTCATTTCGCCGTTTGCCACCGTAAAAATGCTTTTTAACGAAAAGTCATAAAATACGAAACGTATCGAAACTCGAAGATCAAACGTTTGGTTTAACTGCATAAAATGTCAACGAGAAATCCAATCAGCACGTATAACCTAGAATGAGAGAGCCAGTAGTGCACGTTTTATTAGCAAATTTTATAGTTTAACATTTTCGAAATAAAATCCGAAACTTTGTTGTGACATTCGACAGAGGTTTATACGTTCGATGGCAATAACCGAGGTACGACGCTGTTCAACCGTCTACTGTTACTGCGAATGCATTAAAGATAAGCAATAATGTTGACGGATAAGTTCGCGACGTCTGCTGACTCGCCCTTAGCATTTTCAAAGAGAGAGAGTTAGAAATTGCAACTGTTGAATATGCTAATGCTGATTTCATTGTTCTCTCGTATATAATAATCGAAACATAAACCTTCATAGTAATAAAAATGTTTTTTCCCTGATAGTTCAAAATTATCCGTCCCTTTTTTGAAGACATCGGTCGGTTTGAACGTTAATAATAAAAAGAGTAAACAGTCGACCTCGCCTAAAACATGTCATTTCGGATCATTCCGATCCACTAACGGTGCTTTTAGGTACCCCAAGCACCGGTCATTGTTCTCGTCGAACCCGCCGCTTGCGACGAAGGGCTCGGCGAGTAATTTAACCCACAGACCCAGCCAGACACAGCCCACTGAGTTTCTCGTCGGATCTTCTCTGGGTCGCGGTTCCGATCCGGTGGTAGATTCTGCGATGCGCTGCTCTTACTAGTGTTAGTGTTAGCAACGACGTCAGGCTTGGGTCCCGTGAACTCACCTACTTGTNTTGTTCTCGTCGAACCCGCCGCTTGCGACGAAGGGCTCGGCGAGTAATTTAACCCACAGACCCAGCCAGACACAGCCCACTGAGTTTCTCGTCGGATCTTCTCTGGGTCGCGGTTCCGATCCGGTGGTAGATTCTGCGATGCGCTGCTCTTACTAGTGTTAGTGTTAGCAACGACGTCAGGCTTGGGTCCCGTGAACTCACCTACTTGTTAGGGTTACGCTGGATTCTCTCTCAAGACCCATCACCTTAGGTAGGAAAAGAAAACGAAGCAAATCAAAAGGGAAAAAGAAACCATAAACTAAAGCCACTATTAAGTACGAGGTCAGTTGCAAGTAACATCTCCAGAGCAATTAGAATAAACTTGATTCCGGCGGGTGGTTAACATCCCTCGACCTCGCTGTCACGATAGATTACACGTTCATTGTGCAAGATATCCAGAATATTCTCCTCACAATGTATTATATTTTCTTGCTCGACTTGACACGAGATCGTATTAATATAACGACATGTTCGTTAGTGGTCGTGTCTCTGTACATCCAGAAATAAAAATACATTGAAATCTGATATTCAACGAACTGATAGGGAATACACGTTTAAGCGAAATATTACATATAATCCTATAAAATAGAATCGTAGTTGTTATTTACATGAAAGGGTCCAGAGCAGGCACATTCCCAATCAGATCGTTTTATTTCATGTATGGATTTGCCCAAAAGATAGAACGTAGGGTTGTCGAAATCAATAAATAGTACTGCAGGAAAATCACAGTAAAACCTTTTTATATTTTTATTTGCCCCAACAAATTCTTACAAAATTCGTAAAATTTCAAACATAATATCGTTCACGATGTTTTTCGTGATAATAATTTCCACATTTAATTCTAAATTGAAACACGCACTAATTCCATTGCGAATTTCCTAATCTTGACCTCCGAAGACGATGGATGTCAATGTGGTAGCTAGTCTTAGGCTGTTGATCAAATCAAACTATAGAGGATGTATATTTTGACCCCATCTAGTAAAAGTAAAGTAAAGAGAAAGTTAGTTTTACGAATATATAGCGACATCGGAAGCATAACATCGGATCTAGTTTTTTGCTTTAACTCTAAAGAAATTTAAACTGTATCTTAAACCTTTTAATCGAGAATGCAATAAAAATTATCGATCAAATGTTACTACAAAACTTTGCAACGATTTCTTATGAAGCATTCGAACCGATTACAATTTGAATTGAATTGAAATCGTAGAACTGTAACGTCGAAGTACAACTTTAATGTCAATATACCTATTTAGTATTGACTTTTATAAATAGATAAATATTTACTAACAATCACGCCACGTTAACCGTTCCTGTGCTAAGTTCGTAAAGAACTTGTGTTACCAGTACTCGTGGTACCAGATAACGGAAATAAATGTAAGATTTTTATTATACACATACATATATTTAATATACATCCATAACCCTGGAAAAGATATTTTACATTTATCATACAAATATCTTCCCTTGGCGGGATTAGAACCCGCAACCCCTTGTATAGTGACCATGTCACTTACCACTACACCAGACGGCCGTTATTCTTCTTCTATATCGTTCCGTCAGTGCTGAGGATCGCGACCACATGTGACGTTCCTCTACTGTGTTCGATCATGGGTGGCATGGACCGCACGGTACAGACTACCACCAAGTGCTTCGAGGTTTATAAGAAATGTTAATTTCTTTTCGAACAGGTACCTGAATTTTTTCCCGCCAAGCCTAACTAACAACTCACAAATAACATTCGAGAAGTCGGCGACGTACTTCGACGGCGACCTGGTGCCGAGGAGAGCGCACGCATTACTGCCCAACGCCAAGATCATTGCCATACTGATATCACCATCGAAACGGTAATGTATTCTTAGATTATTTATTATTTATGGTATCTGAGATGCAACTACTACTGTAATTACAATTAATTGTAAATTTGAAGCGGAAACTTGTATTACGAAAAACGGATTTACTAAAAATCATGACAAACAGTATTTAGATTGGCAAAATACAATGACTGTTCTAGAATACAATGGGAGCTTTTAATATTATCGATTTTTATATTATCATCATATGCAGACGAACATGTGGCCTAGCTGTTATACCCATAATCTAATTGTTAGTGGTCACCGTTGCCCATGGACATCAACAATGCCCGGAGCGCAGCCAAAGCGCTGCTTACTGCAAATCCCAGTGTTAATATGTATATGTAAGCAGAAATAATCATTACATCTGCTCAATGTATAGGGCTCGTCGCAGACTTGATCTGTTTTTTTTTAAAGAAAAATGATACTAATTTACTATAAAGGTAATTTTTTTTCGGTTTTGTTTTCTTTGCCTTCACGCAACATTCATTCGACTGAGTAGCAGTTTCATGTTATATGCTGCTTATATTCCCACCTAAGTAAACGTGTACACTCAATACGGTCTAGGTAATATATTTTTTATTTTAGTGCTTAGATCGGTGGACGAACTCACGGCCCACCTGGTCTTAAGTGGTTACCTGAGCCCATAGACGTCTACAACGTAAATGCCGCCACCCACCTTGAGACATGAGTTCTAAGTCTCAGATTTTACAGTACAACGGCTGCCCCGCCCTTCAAACCGAAACGCATTACTGCTTCACGGTAGAAATAGGTGGAGTGGTGGTACCTACCCGCGCGGACACGCAAAACATCCTACCACCAGTAATAATAGGTCAATTACGATAGGAACTATTATAATTAATCAAAACTGACGATTAAAAATGTTATTAGGTCTGAAGTCAAATTCCAAAAAATATATACCAACTATTAAAATTAAGTTCTTATAGTTTTATTACCAATGTAAAAAATATTGTAATTTTTTTCCTTTATAATTATCTATTACATCAGTCTCGTAGTTAGAATTCGATTTGGGAAATTGTAGAGTTTATCTGAAGTTATCGCTTGCCGGTCACGGATATAGTAGTGTTATATAGGGTGTGTCGCAACATGGCCCAGACGTGTTCGCGTAATAGAATCATTTCCGTATTCTCATCCGTTGGGAACGTATCGCGCGCGATATTAATCTGGATTACCAACGAAAATCCTTATACGTGCGAAGATATGAATATCGAAAAGAAAAAAAAAACATAGCGTGGCTTTTAAACAGAGATTAGGCTTACGTGTTTTCTTTTGCCATTGTAATACGGTCGAGCTTACGGCCCACTTGATGTAAGTAGTCGCCATCGCTCACGGGCAGTGGCAATACTAGGTATGCAGCCAAACTGGTGACTACTGGAGGGTTTTAGGTTTTCGCTTATTCAAGTAAATACAATGTAGTTGTATTTTTAATACGCTTTTGTTAGCTTCAGACGTATGTATGTTAGTATGTAACGGTAATCTTTGAACATGATTTTGACCTCCTTCAAAACGTCGGATTAACTCGAAATTTGGTATACAATAAAATCATTTTTTCTAAAACTATTCTTAATTCAAATTTATTTACTATTTTTAGTGGGATTTTCTATAAAAGCGTATTTTTTTTGTTTTTTTAAACTATTATTTATTACACTTCACCTTCGTTCTCAACCTAATATAAAGTAACATTCGTAATTGTAGGTATTTACTAGTTTACATATTTGTAACATTATGTGTATCATAATCTAGAGTAGAGTACGTAATACTTGAAGGTAGTAGATATATAATGAAATTTTGTTTGTATTAAGTTATAACTAAACGAGATAGATAAAAGTTTATGTGTATTTACGAAGTGATTGTTTATGACTCTATTTTTTAACGATTTTATTATCGATAAACTATAGCCAAGTAAATCGATCAAAATCGATCGGTCAAATAATGATCGTAAAATTACGAATGTATACAAATTCCTTAAACGGTACTGATGCATCTAAGAATTTATTTGGCGAGCGTTCCGTGTATACCGAAAACAGATTTGTTATGAAATGTGTCGCAAACCATTTATACGTTTCTGAGAATACGTGCTCCTAAACGTACTTCGTCTGTGCCGAATGTTCAAATATATCTGAACAGCTCATGTAAACTAAATTTAATTCGTACAGTAAAATACTAATGCTTACCACATTATTATTATATTGTATTTTAAGCTATTGCTTTTATCGAGGGCTTTGAGCGCGGTGTCCGGACCAAGAAATTCCGTAACGAAAATAAAACCTAACACCCCCACTCCGCCTACCATGTAGCTCGCGTTCAAGACGTTCATACGTTGCGCTTTTGTAGTGATTGTGAATAAGCGCGCGGCGTTACGTCGCACTGCATGCGCATCAGGAAAAGTCTGCCTGTCTCTCGCGCGCGGTCTAACTTATGAGTGAAGGGGACAGTTAATGTTTTGCTTTTGTTAATGTTTATAAATAAAGCGTGGTCTTATTTTATTATTGTTTTAATTTATAATTAAATTATTATTGTCTAATTATAATTGCATAAGTTGATAAAAAATGCTATGCTTTACCGCGGCAGTCCCCGAGTGCCACACGTGTTTTTTTTATTTTTAGTATTATTGTTATATTCAAAAACAGCCCTTTTTAACAAAAAAACATGAAACCCCACTAAGTAAATATAAAGAAGTGATTGATCTATTTGTTGAATGAAGTGCGTAATCTTATATCGACTGGAGTAATCAATTTCAGGCCACCTAAATATAGTGGTATTAAAAATTATCGAATATTGGTTTATAAAAAAAAACATATATAGTTTGCAATTTTTTTTGTTTAAGCCGAGAGGTTTTACAGTTGATGGAACTTCAAGAAATATTTCTAGTATAGTACCATCAGCATGCGATAGTTGACGCGCGAGTCATTTTTCACAAATTCTTGTTTCGTAAATTGAAATGAATCAAAATCAAATATAACAGGTTTGCAATAGCCTCATATTTTTGTAGAGAATAGTTCCTTTTGAATATAATTCGATTCATGAAATAAGATGAAAAAAGTATATATTATGTGCCAGTAAAAGACAAATACTTAATACTGTAATAACATTTATTAAACAATACATAAATAAAGCTAACCCTGCGGGAGGTATATTACATAATAAACATTTTCTATCTCCGCAAGGTCCTCGATTCCCTGTACGCTAACGAGATTATCCGCAGAGCTACGAACTTACACTGCTTGCTTTAATTGACAGTAGAATTCTAGAAGAAACATTCTAGTTCTTAGCGGAAAATACGAACACTTGACAATAAGCTTAGTATTGGAGTCGGTACATTAATAAAACACTGATGCATACTCGTGACGAACAATACTAGCTACTATATTATTCGAAGGTCAGGTCATGAAGAGAACAAATTAATAGACATTAGTGGATTGTGTGAGCACGTAAAGTATCATTGTAAAGAGCTCGTTCAATTATCTTACACCTTTAAACGAGCAATTCTTGTATATATATAATCTGAATCTCGGAAACGGCTCCAACGATTTTTATAAAATTTAGTATACAGGGGATTTCGGGGACGATAAATCGATCTAGCGACGATTTATTTTCAGAACATGTATAATCAACTTTATGACTCTTCCCGACATCTATTGACGAATAATAATACTATTTTTCTTAATTTCAACTAACTGCTTTAAAGACACAATAACACTAAAGCTATTTCAGCAGATGGCGTTGTTAAGCCACTTATAAAAAAAAAACCGGCCATCGTCTAGTGTAGACCTAATAAAATAAAATTGTAGTGTTGGGGTTAATAATAATACACTTCACGGATTACGACTCTAAATAGGACAAGGTTTTTCGTCCTAAATAACAGAGTAGGCACAATCCGCGAAACGTAATTAATGAATGAACCCGGACTCTTAAATTAAACAGTTGTTTGGGAAGCACGCAACATGATAACAACGTTTTATGTAAATTGTTTTGTTCTAATCCGATAAAGAGTCGAAAGTCTCGCGCAGATTGGGTTTTTATTTTATTTTAATTTTAAATACTCTCTAACTTCTCGTCGCGTAAGCGATACGTAAGCTCTTTCTAAAAAGTTATCCGTTTGATTCAAGATAAATTGAATTAAACAAAAAACTTTACAAAAGGGTCGATAGAAAAAAACAATTTTAACTAAATTACAGTTTTTTTTTATTTCTAATAAGTATTACACAAACAATTTATGTGATTTTAAGTGGTATATAAAATGTAAATTAACCACCCTTTGTAAGAACTTAATGAAAAATAAAATTGATTGATTGTTGGCTAATCTGAGCAGATATTGTTGTTCTTTGTGACGTCTCCGACCACTCGAGACTGTAGACCCCAGCGACTAATACGTAAACTAAAAAACTAAACACAACTAATACATTCTCAGTGCCCACCAGATAGATATTAAGCAGCAGTTATCATAACATTGCCACACTCACCTTGAGACATGAGGTCGAATTCTCAACTGTATTGTATACGCCCTACCAATACTAAAACCAACAACAAATTTTAAAACATTTCTGACATGTGTTGTCTCAAGGAGCACCGTCACTAACAACCTCTCTTTGATATCGAGATTGGCTCCTTTAACCACGGTCTGAAAGAAAATTTCTGTGCGGGAAAATTATTCTTCAATTTTGAAAATAATTGAAAACATTTCACCAATTACTATATTAAACTCTACAAATGTAACAGTCGTATTATGGATAATAATTGTTTCAAAACATTAATTACGATTGTTTACATTTTGTATTAAAAGTCATTTTAATACATAGACTACATTTGTTTTTTATATCTCGAAAGTTAAAACTATCCCTCCGGCTTAATCTGTTAATTTTTTTTCATTTTATTACATCTTATGTTTCAAATATACGCCTCGACTTGAAAACTTTTGCATTGCTCTGAAGTAGCACTATTGTTGTGGCAATCTGATAGCTACCGCTACACAATTATAATTATCACTACAACCGCCGGCTGGCGGGACCTCCAGATATTGTTAAAACTTTCTGTATGATATAAAAATAAATGTCCATAAAAATGAGACAGTGGTAAGCTTAAAATGACAGCTTAATAATAATAAAGCCCTTTATTCGGATAACAGATATACAATTAAGTTTCTTATACTACTGCACTTATACTGATATATGTATATATATGTATTTTAGAAAATTAAGATTGTTCACGTATTTGGTGCTTCTTTACTCTCTGTAAGTCCGTTTGCCAGTTGGCAAAGGCCTAATCTAACCTACTCCATTCTGATCTCTCTCTGGCTACTCTACTCCATGTTATGCCCGCAACCTGCCTGATATCATCGTCCCATCTTTTTTGTTGCCTGCCTCTTTTCCTCTTGCTTTCCCTTGGATACCAATGTGTAGTTATTTTGCTCCATTTTTCTTTTCCTGTGACCATGTGTCCCGCCCACTTCCATTTTAGCCTTTTTATTTTTAGAGATACGTCTTGTGTCTTAGTCTTTTTCCTAATGTTAATGTTTCTTATTTTATCCTCCCTTTTTACTCCTATCATGCTTCTTTCCATTGCTCGTTGGCAAATAGCAATTTTATTGGTTATGTTTTTTGTTAAGGCCCATGTTTGGCTTCCATGACAAAATGACAGCTTAATCGTCGTTAAAAACTTAAATGTATTGGAAACATCGGAAATAATAAAGTCGAGATTAAACCGTAAAAGTTGTTTTAGTTACATCGACAGCACGACGGAATCCGAAGAAAATACTAATATTCGTTCAGTGGATAACCTTTTTTTTTTAAATGATTATTTTACAATGGTTTATTTCGTCAACAGTGCGTACTCCTGGTATCAGCACATACGCTCTCACGGCGACCCGATCGCGAATAATTACACATTCCACACAATCATCACGGCGAATGACTCCGCACCGAAACAACTCAGGGATTTGAGGTGAGTGATACCAAATAAGAGCTACATTAGACCTCAAACAGAAGAGAGCTGTTCGAATCTATGAAATATACATGGGTGTGTGTGTGTGTGTGTGTGTGTGTGTTCGCGCGAGTGTGTGTGTGCGCGAGTGTGCGTGTATGCGTGTGCGCGTGTATGCGTGTGCAAGTGTATGCGTGTGCGCGTGTATGTGCGTGTGTGAGTGAGTGTGTGTGTACCTGTGTGTGCAAACTGATTGGCTCTCTTTGTGTTTGTTACCGTGTCCACAATGTGTGTTTTGTTGTTTAACGTTATCTTCTTTTATCATTGCATTGCGAAAATGACACAATCGCTGAAACGGAATTCATACTCGAAAAGCAACTCTAAAAAGAGACAAACATAAAATTTTGTCTCCCTTAAAATGAGATAGAATACTTCTGAAGGTTTCTGCCGCGATTGAACTGTAGACATTTAATTTTATTTATCACGTTTTCTAAATTCTAATTAAGTAATCGAGATCTAATGCAAACATGATTCAATGATATAAAAAAAGTATAGGGATGATATCAGAAACGTCTTGTTGGGAAGATATTCCTAAGCATTTCTTAAGTGCTAATTCATCAATAATATAAAATTGCTTTCGTTAGTATAATAAATCCTCACTGATATAATAAACGTGCTAGTGTGTGTTTGGTTATTTGTGATTCCGAAACGAAGCAACGGATCGACATAATTTTTTAAGGTGATAATATTAGATCAGGAGAGTGAAATAGAGTACCTTTTATCCCGAAAAAAATCTCATAGCGGTAGGCAGCGGCTTGGCTGTGCCCCTGGCATTACTGGCGTCTATTAGCGACGGTAACCACTCACCATCAGGTGGGCCGTATGCTCGTCTGCATACAAGGGCTATAAAAATAATCGTTCTCAAGGGAAATACCACATTGAAACTTTCCTTGCCCGCGCGGACGCAGCCGCTGGTAACGCTTAGTAATCTATAATCACAATATATTTTAAGTTTGTCGGAGAACGCTCGACCGTATCACGGGTTATAAGTGCAAAAAAATCTCCACTTGAGCACGTAATAGGGTCGAGTTTCATAAGAAATTTCATAAGAAACGTATAAGCAGTTCGACACGCGTCCAAATATTCCATTATTCCGCGCTTCGACTTACCGTCGTACAAATAAACGTTACGTTAAATATTATTGGCTTTCTTTAACCCAACTCAAGATTCCAATAAACGGCGGACACGTTTTGCACGAGCACTCGATAATTTCGCTCGTTTTCCGGCCTCGTTACGTTACGTTACGTTTGCACGCAAATTTTATTAAAACATCTTCATATTGTACGTAATACGGGACGTGATCCTAAATTAAAATTTTATTTTATACGTCGTCGGCTGGTTGAGTGGCGCCGTGAATTTATTACATCAAATATTACGCACGTTGTTATAGCCTTGTAGGGAGAGATCTGTCTCGTCGAGATTATCAGATTAGCGATGGCTCTTGTCTGCGTCATTTTTACTTTTTTCATTGTTCCAAAGCTACATCTCACAAAAATTAAATTAGTTAAAATATTTCGTTTTAACTTAAACTACGAAGATTTGTAAATGTGATTATATTATATTTAAATTCAACAGAAACTTTCTATACCGATCTCGGTTAAATAGAAATAACATTATGTTATGTTACAAAACATGAATTAAGGTTATTGGTGGTAGGACCTCTTGTGAGTCCGCGCGGGTAGGTAAAAGAAATAAAATAATAATAATAGTGTGTTTACATGGATATCCTCCGTAATTTGAGGTTTTAACTTTTTTATTACACTACAGGGATGTACTTAACTCATCACCCACCAGGTGTTTAGTGGTTACCAAAGTCTATAGAGATCACAAAGTAAATGCCGCCACATTTCAATTTTATTGTTTAACAACTATCCCACCCTACCGACCGGAATGCATTACTGCTTCGCCTTAGAAATGGACGGGGTGGTGGTACCTCTCCATACGCTGCTCACATTTTATACATACATTTTATTTCAATAAAATGACATATAAAACCAATTTATTAAAGTTAAACTAATTTTTATATTATTCAAAAATTTGATTAATTCTAAATTTTATCGTTAATCTTTATATTAATACGTGAAGCTAAAACTTTGTACCGATTTTTACGAAAATTTCGCGGACGGAAGAGTATGAAATTTCCTACACTTATAGAGAATATAGAGAAGGAGTGCAGAATGCTAATATTTTTTTAATTATGCATAAAAATAAATTAAATCAATAAAAAAACATTACACACGCTACCATGTATTTGACACACAGTCACATATCTACTCTTTTGCTATTGTTTTAAGTCTATGATTAAATCGAGAATAGATTAATAATGTTTGTCTTTAATATTATTTGTCTATAGTAGCGAAATCCGTGATTATAGAACAATGATGATTATAGAAGTGTGACAATAGAACCATAACAATGTTCGAACTTATAATTTACATGAATTATGGTCGAGATTCGACCATTTAGCGACCTTTAGTAATAATTTAATAGAAACGACAGTTATGTATCGGTGACATATCATCTTTTCGCATTAAAAGTGTACAATTTGCAAAAATATTTGAAATTGAGTTAATATGCGGAATCATTTGGTATCACCAGTATTTTTCTCATAAATACTGTCAAAAGAGCGTAGTTTAATTTTAGATTATTTTTTTTAGTTTACTTATGTATTGACTACTATTAACAAAATTGATACATAATTTTATCTTACTTTAAAAGACAGATAATTTAACTGGTAAAAAATAAAAAATAAATGTTGCAAAGATGATTATAACATTAAAAATATCACATGTTAAAACTTTAAAACACTCTCCTGTAAAATTAGTAAGTTTTGAGATTATACAATTTTAATGCGAGAAGACGATATATGTTTTTTTTTAATTTATTAACACAGGAATCGTTGCTTGAATCCTGGGAAATACAGTCATTATTTAGAACGTTGGTTGTCGGAGTACAGCGTGCACCAGTTGCACGTCATCGACGGGTCGATGCTGCGCTCTGAGCCGGCGGTCGTGATGAACACGCTCCAGAAGTTCCTCAAGATATCGCCGCATATCGACTACAATAAACTGCTCAAGTAAGATACTACAAAAAAATGTTCAGGTTCTAGCTGCCATACTTTTATTGGTAGTAGGACCTCTTGTGAGTCCGTGCGGGTAGGTACCACCGCCCTGCCTATTTCTGTCGTGAAGCAGTAATGCGTTTCGGTTTGAAGGGTGGGACAGCCGTTGTAACTATACTGAGATCTTAGAACTTATATCTTAAGGTGGGTGGCGCATTTACGTTTTAGATGTCTATGGGCTCCAGTAAGTGGGCTGTGAGCTCGTCCACCCATCCAAGCAATAAAAAAAACATAATATCTCTTTCATCCACGCGTACCAAAAACATTTACAGTCTGTAATAGTTACGCATATATAAACTCTCATACCCGATCCTGTGGACCGAATGGTAAACAGTCGACGTCACCCTAAACACGTCATTACGGATCCTCCCGATCCATTAACGGTCCTTTAGATACCTCAAGCGCCGGTCAACATCCTTGCCGAACCCGTCGCTTTCGACGAAGGGCTCGACGAGTAAATTAACCCATAGACACAGCCCACTGAGTTTCTCGCCGGATCTTCTCAATGGGTCGCGTTTCCGATCCGGTGGTAGATTCTACGAAGCACAGCTCTTGCTAGGGCCAGTGTTAGCAACTCTCCCGGTTTGAGCCCCGTGAGCTCAGGGTAAAACTAGAGTAGCCTCAAGGCTATCAGCCTTGGTAAAGAAATAAAAAAACAGTATTATTTTCATTTCGTTTGTGTTGCCTCCTAAGGTTAGGCTCGTATTTATTTTAACAAAAACGACATAGTCGCATCGCTCGATACGAGTATACACCGGTTGTCTTACCCATTAGGCTATGAACATTTCGAAAATCTACGTCCACAGACGATGAAATTGTTTTTTTTTTGTATAGGGAATATTATATTTTCAATATACAATGCTCTTCGAGAACGCGATTTATATTCGACCATTTCATTTTGAAGTCGTCCATTACTTCTATTACTCTTAGAATTAGTTTTATTACGCGTTAAAGTTTGTAATAGGTTTCAGTTAGGCAGCTGTCGTACTCGTATTTTAGGGCAGCTCGAGGCCGGTCCGCGGCGCCTCTCGATCGACGATAACTTAGGCGCTATAGCCAGTTAAGCTGCGTCGGAACTGCTCAGGCACTAAGTGGCGCGCCCTGGTACCCGCGCACTCGCACACAACACGCGCTCGAACTCAGCTCAGACTTCTCACATACAATGACTAACATTAAAATAAGCAAAATCGATTAGTCGAACGTCGAATCGTAAGCTCGGATTTCGTCTCGGACATAATAACTGTACTGAATTATAAATAATGTGCGTGTATCTAAAATAGCAATAACTGAGAGAGGCGAGCTCTATCGGCTCGGACGTTTCGAGAAAATGGGTAATGTAATTATTGAAAGAATCTATGGACTCGAGGTAGGTAACGTCGGACGACGATCTCTCGTTCGCATCAATAATGTACGTCCTCGCTTCGCGCTCAACGACGACGCAGATCTGTCGGCGCCGAAAGAATGTAAGTTTCGTTTGCAGATACGATCCGAAAAAAGGATTCTTCTGTCAAGTGGTCGGGGGCGAGAAAACGAAATGCCTTGGGAAGTCGAAGGGTCGCGTGTACCCGCCGATGGAGGAGCGCTCGGCCAAGTTCCTCAGGCGTTACTACACGCCGCATAACACTGCACTGTCCAAGCTGCTGGTCAGGGTCGGCCGCCCCGTGCCGCACTGGCTCAAGGACGAGCTCTCGGCCAACGGATGACCTCACACCGACTGCAACCTCCTGTTCTATAAATAAGGCGTAATTTAATATACACTAAACCTGAAAAAAAGTTACTTAAATATGAAAATCTATATATATATATATATATAAATGAATTGCTGTTCGTTAGTCTCGCTAAAACTCGAGATTAGCTGGACCGATTTGGTTAACTTTGGTCTTGAATTATTTGTAGAAGTCCAAGAAGTCCAGAGAAGGTTTAATAGGTAGATAAATATGAAAATGCTCGGAATTAAATAAAAATAACAATTTTGTTTTTGCTTTGATGTGTCTGTCCCCCGTCGGACGCATTTCTTTTGTTTGTTTTAAGTTTATTTTATACAAAAGTTTAGGTCTTTTATTTATCGATTGAGACACTACGAAGTCTGCCGGGTCAGCTAGCTAGTCGATAATAAAAAGTACCCGTGAAACTTGCGAGCTGATGTCGTATTCCCCGGCCGCATTACGTAGGTTATTATTTTTATTAATGAAATTTACATCGACACCGACCACTCTGACCGCTCCGGTGGACCGTATATTGTGTCCAGTTTTTTTTTAATATTTTCCAACATTTTTTTGAGACACAACCAAAGTGATATGATTAAGAACTTTTTAACGGCTTTATCTCCGGTTCGTTGTCATAATACTACTATTACGGACTTTTTCTCGACAACTATACAGCTTTCTTGGTCACCGTTCGTGATCTTAATTGTTTATTAATCATGTCAACGACTAGCAATTACAATAAATTAAAAGTCGAGTCCGCTCCTAGTTTCGGGCGACGATTTTCAGTTTTAGTATATACTAAATTATTAGATCTCGCAAATGTCGGATCGTTGTTGAGAAATATTTATTAAAAAAAAAAAGAACGTTTTTAATGTAATATTTTTAAGGGTTATAATACGACTTTTAATGTAACTGGTAAAATCCGGATTGTAGTTTTTTTTTTTGTTATACGTGTAGAGTATGAATGATTGCGTTGCAAATTTGATTTCGATTCAGCTGAGCGAGTCTATCGGTGTCTTGTTGCGAAAGGCGCGGCGGCGTCGACTTAGGTGCTATTCAGTTATCGCGTGGAACTTGTTAATAACGATTCGCCTTCGTGTTGTTATTATTTATTAGGCAACTAGAAAATCCCGATCAAAAAAAAAAAGAGCTTATTCAAAATAACGTAGGGAGTTTTTATTTTGTTTTTCGCGTCACTATTATTAGTATTTTTCATTCCAAAACGTTGCGAACTAACTATCGTAGGGCATCGCTTTTGTTAAATGTATGGTTTTTTTTTTGTTTACAATTTACGTACCTGAAACGGATGTGTAATATAGTTAATTATTGTACATTTCATGTCGAATCTTAATAATGAATCTATCGTGATAATAATTATTTTATAAACTGTTTTTTTTTTTCAGTGCCATATTTAATGAAAGCGGCACTAGAATGTTTTTTTTTTTTAAAAACAATAGATCAATTTACTAGTCTTTTACATTTTAAACGTGTATTCGCGTAAATGTTGTTTTATTGCGCGATATTCATATCAAATGTAAGTACACGAATGAATTAAACACATACATACATACATGTGTGTACTAAAACGCTCGAAGTACATTTATCGAAACATCACTTTTAGTTACCCGTTTTAAAATAAGGTAAAACGATATAAAACATATAAAAGTTGAATAATATTGCATTATATTTTAAATGGAATGTTATCGTAAACGACTCAAAGAATTGTATTTTGCATATATTTTGATATGACATGATATTTTGACGACGAATAATATTGAATGTTTTTTTAAATGTGAATACAATATCGCTATTAGACAATTTTCTTAATGTTTATCGTCGATACTTATATAGTATAAGAAATTGTTTTTTTTTTTTTTTAAACGTACTGAAATTTTTATATAGCTAAATTTTATAATAAAGCTATCATCGTATGAAATGTTTGTAAATTCGAGTACATATTTCTTATTTTTTATTAAATTTTCTCTAATACAATAATGCAAAATTGAAATTACATATATGATTTTTGAAGTTATTATGAGACAGACATATTAGACGTGTATTATTACAATTGTTGTTTGTAATTCGAGTAATAATAATTATATTCGAGAATATTAATTATGACTTAATCGAAGGAGGCCGTGTGGCAGTACAGTTCAGTCTCTAAATTATTTAGTTGTTAAACTTATTATTCAAGGACAATTTTTCTTTGAAACAAAACAGCCAATGACTGCTCTTAAGATGTGTTCTTCATAAGAAATTAACAACATTACTTATTTTATAATAAAACATTTGAAATTTACGAGTTTGTTTTTATTTCCTTTCCATTTCCTGCTACTTTGGAGATATTGAGGATGAAACTATGTTCAGCAACAGATGTCGTTTATGACGGTGTGGAATAAGAAGCAATCGCCAAAATCTATTATATAAAAGGTCAAAGAATTATATCTCGTTATGTACTACAGTGAGATGTAAGCAACCAGTTGAGAACAAGACTTCTTTAATTTTCTTCTTTATTTAAATAGAATAATTGGATCTAAAAATACAAGAAAAAAACATCACACAATTTTTTTTGCTCAAATCGGTGAAGGGTGTCTCAGCTCACGTAGCGTCAAGTGGTAATTGAAACTCATAGACAGCGCAACGTCAATGCCACCCACCTGGAGATTTGGTGTGGGTTGTATTTATAACAACTATCTCCATCCACCAACCCGGAGCACATGACTGCTTATTTTATTTTATTTATTACCTTTGTAGGCAGACGAGCATACGGCCCACCTGATGGTAAGCGGTTAGGGTGGCAGAGCCAAGCCGCTGCCTACCGTAAAGCCTACTTTCGCGGCAGGTCGATGGTCCTACCCGCGCAGGCTCTCAATATCCCCCAGCACAAAGCGTGTGCAAAGCGTCAATAATTACAGTAATATCCTAAAGGCAGTAGTTTTATGTTGCACTATCGACACAACGCGGCTTGATGCAATTATCTAGTCTAGTCGGTACGGTACCATACAACCGAATAATCGAATTTCGCCAATCGACAAGGCACTGTTACTAATGTCTGTCGACATATTTCACCCGTAACCCGCCCGTGTTGCCCTGTTTTATACGCAATAGAACATTCTAGCAATGCATAGCTCTACTGAAAATACGCAATCGACAATGGATTTTCGTAATAATCACTCATAATTAAAATGTTACCCAGGTGGGTCCTTCATACAGGCGAGTAAAAAATGTACAAAATACATTTCTGTGTCTCAAAATCGCGATGTCTATTGATGGTGTTCAGAGCTAGCAGTGGTACGCTGACATACGGGGTTAACCTGAAATACTGGCGTTCATCAAAATTTCATTCGGAATATAGTTCAGGAGAGACGATCTAAACTTGTGTCTGAAGTGGTGAACTCTCTGGGGCGGGTCTCTGAATAGAGCGAATTGAATTTATTTCGATTCAATCCATTTGAAGACGCAGATTCACTGCGAAGAACTCGTTTGTCATGGGGCCGTAGCTCCAAGGAGTACGGCAGCAAGCTTTCGTGAGTATTAGTATTCGTGGAGTCGATATTTCGAGCGTTGTTCAGTATCGGAATCATCTGAGACGTAAAGGCAAATTGGCTTGTAAAATTAATTCTAAATTAAATAACTTTATGCCGCTAATTTCGAAACATTGCTTTTAATTGCATTGCTTTCGAAACATTCCAATAAAAATAAAAAAGTGGGCAGCGGCTTGTCTCTGCCCCTGGCATTGCTGATGTCCATGAGCGACGGTGACCACTACCATCAGGTGGGCCGTATGCTCGTCTGCCTACAAAGGCAATGAAAAAAAAACTGAAAATCACAAAGGTTGGAAAATCTTTGATTTATTATTAAATCATCAGGTGTTAAACATATGTTAATAGATCTACCCCTACAAAGGTACGGTCTGTATACATAAGCTCCACCGACTTACGTGTATGAATAATTTACAATATAAATGAAGAGTGCATATTATTATATTCGCTCAACACTATATGGGTCGTAAGCTACTCACCTGTCAGTCAACAGCGACGTAAAATTCAATATTTCGTTCAAGATATATATGAAACAACTCACTCGACATCGCAAGAATGATATAGGTACTCGTAATGTGAGGTATTCGAGGAAATGCGGCTCAATTTCAAAACTTACGTTCGATAGCAATAAGCAACGATCAGAGTCGAGTGCAATTCTGAAGAAATACAACGTAACTGCTTCCGAACATCTTGAAAAATGTATTTCAGCTCGTTCCAACGGAATACGGTTCATACAATGTTTTGTGTCGGGCCATTAGTGGTGGACGTGTGGTGCAGAGTTGTGCTAAATGATTTTACATAGAACTAAGCGAAGAATAAATTTGTAATTTAAATACGGTTTGTTAACAAATTAATGTTATCAATTTAAGAGTCACAAACAACAATGTGATTTTTACCACATGCAAATTAATCTCTCAATTATTATTGCACACATGTTTTAACATTCAGCATACTCTGTAGTTCGTGAGTAAAAACTAAAGAGTCGACTAATAGTGACCGCTTGTCACCTCAAACGTGTTATCTAGACAACAATAATGGTTCAGAACCTAGTACGTGTCAATTTACGGGTGGTAGGACCTCATGTGAGTCCGCACGGGTAGGTACCACCACCGCGCCTATTTCTGCCGTGAAGCAGTAATGCGTTTCGGCTTGAAGGGCGGGGCCGCCGTTGTAACTATACTGAGACGTCTCCAGTAACCACTTAACACCAGGTGGGCTGTGCGCTCGTCCACCCATCTAAGCAATAAAAAAATATATTCAACAAACATATTACCAAAGTTCTTTTACTTAATTCTTTCAATTAGGAAAGCTGCTCAAATAACGCATTGAATTTCTCGCAGGATCTTTCTTCTCAGTGGGTCGCGATTCCGATCTGGTGGTAGATTCTGCAAAACACTGCCTTTGATAGGGCTAGTGTTAACAAATTCTGTCAGATTGAGAGCGTGAGCTCACCTACCCATCCG